TTACTATATCCCAAACACTGTTGGAACCTTGCAACATAGCTTGAAGCTTCTGTGACAACCCTGTGAAGTAGCTATTGTTATACTTGTTAAACACTGAGAGGAACTGCACATGGTAATTAGAGATCAGATGACGTGGGTAGCTGCTTCTGATATAATTGCCAACCAGTAGACAACGGTTTGGCATAATGGTTGATGAAAGTGGGCTCTGGGGGCACATGGCCTAGTATTTAATCAGTTTGGTTACTTATCAGCCTGATGACCTTGGACGAATGACTTAACCTCACTGAGTCTCGATTTTCTTATCTGGAAAATGGGGCTAATTATCATACCTACCTAATAGGGTGGCTGTGAGGGCAATTCAACAATATAAACGAAGCATGGTTAGCCCAGAAGGAACAAGTAATGCTCCCTCCAATTGAAAACAGGGTAGTGATTAGGAGCACGTGGCTCGTGGCTCATTCAGATCCCTGGTTACTCCACGTACTAGCTGGGTGATCTCGGGCAAGTCACTTAACCTCTCAGGTCTGGTTTCTTCATCCGTAAGATGGAGAGGCTGTGAGGGTTGGACGAGTTACAGCACATAAAGTGTTTACCTGGTAAGTATCCAACAAATACATAAGCACATTTATAGACATGGGTTTTCTAATGACAAGGTCAACTAGAAAACAGTTAGCATCGCACTGGTAAGAGGAGCAGGAATGTGTCTGAGAGTCCCAAGAAGGCAGAGGCTGGGTGCTGACAGGTGGTCAGAGAGTCAGTCTGAGTTGAGCCTCCAATTCAATTCAATGCACCTTCACTGTGGCAGGCCTGACCAGGCCTCCTGGGAACCCGGCTCTAGGAGTATCCTGAGGCATATGGGCAGCATCTGCAGCCTGTCTAGAGCGGTGGATGGGCTGGGAAACAGTGAACCGTGACAGTGCCCCGGAGTTGTGCTGGAGAAGGGCGGACAGGCGGAGGAAGCCAGCTAAGAAAGATGGGAGCGGTGGCCTCCGCCTGGGAGGACAGGACAAGACTCAGAGGAGGCGAGGGAGAAAACTGGATAAAGGTACCATTTTTTGATCCATGAAGCCACCATAGCACCTTAAAAGAACCCACCTGCCAGTGGGCATGAAAGAAAACATTGTGAAAACTTGAAGGTTGTTTGAAAGGGGCTTTGAAAAGGTGACAGATAAGGCCTTCTTCCCTTTTGCTGAATTTAACTGGAGGGTGTCAGGCAATCTTTGTTTTCTGAAATTTAACTTAGCTGAGGATGTCTGGGTTCCAAGCTAAGTACGTCTAGCTCCGCTCTGCATTTCTGTATTAGGCAAGACCTTTTTTGTGGCAGGTGACAAAAACCTACTCAAACAGCCTTAAGCAAAAAAAGGAAACTGATTGTCTCACCCAACTGGAAATCCAGGGGTGTTTCTAGCGTAAGGTCAATTTAGGGCCTCTAACTAGACACCATCTCGCTCGTTCTGTCTCCCCATCTCTCAGCTCAGCGTGTCTTCCTGTTGGCTTTTTTCTTGGGCAGGTTCTCCAGTTTAGCAGCCTTCCCTCAACCCCCAGAGTCCCTCTTTAACCATAGTTCCTGCAAAACTTGCCATTATACTTTGAACCACTGTAACTGGGGGAACGGAGTGTCTCACTGGTCATGCCTGGCTGTGCGAAGCTGGAAGCCACCGGGTAAGGTCAGTGATACCCAGACTGGATGGGCTGCGAGTCAGGGAGGGGTCGTTCCACGAAAGGGTGATGGGCCCAGAAAGACTTTTCCCTCCTACAGTGCTCTCTAAAGGAAGGCGGCAGGGAGAAGAAGGTAAGGAGATAAAAGGGGGGAAAAGGGTCATACTAAGCACAGGGAAACGCAGAGCCAGTGTTTCCTCGTCAGCCAGCACAGCCACGGGTCTGCGGTCACTCTCAGCATGTGTTGAGCTCTCTTGAATTTAAAGCTATTTTATTCTTCTTTTTTCTTTACGCACAGACTTTTAATATATTTGTATACCTCTGGCCCTTGATTTTCATAGTTTCATAGTCATAGGAAAATGTATTTCATAAAGAAGTTTCCATTGTACCCAAAATAGCAGAGGCTTCTTAGTATGTCAGTGTTCCCTCCCCCTCCCCTCCCCTCCCTCCCTCTTCCCATCCTCCTCTTCTCTCTGTCTCTCTCCTCTCTATCTCTGTCTTTAGACAAAGATGGTGTACACAGGGGCAAAGACTGTTCCCTCAAACAGACCCAAAGATTCTGGGACACATGGATTTTCAATCCTTTTGAAAGAGACAGAATATTTGCAAGTGTCTTCAGCTTTTCTGTGTCCAGCTTTTTCTTTTATATTTGGATTCTTCACTCAGCACACCTGTTCAAAAGAAGGACACTAAACGCCATGGAAAACTTCCAAAAGCGGAGCACACCATGACCTTTATTCCCACTTGATTACCATTGTTGTTAAAAGAGCTTCAGGCCCCAGACGGGAGCCACTTAGGGGTCCCCAGGGCTGCCTTCGCCCTGCTTGCACGGTTGGAATGAGTTTAAGCTGCCATCAAGTCCCAACGCCTCATTTTCCACTCATTCAAGACCCCCTCCCTCAATGTCCTAAACTTCAGGAGTTCAGGTGTAACAAATTGAAGGGGAACAGGCGCCCTTTCCACGTGACTCCACAAAGGCGGGATCTACAGCGCCAAAGCCTCTGAGCCAGAGCAAGTAGAGTTGTCCTGGAGATCTCACTTGGATGTACAACACCCTGTGCAAACTTTGCAGCTCCTTTCGGCCTGTGGGAAGATTGATTATATCCACTGTATGGCCATATGTGACCCCAACAACGTACACACGTGAAATCGATTACCTCTGTGCGTGCTGCATTGAATAAGCCCTCTAGGTAGCTGTGGTCAAACCCGATTTCTGCTGCATCGCATCACTGCTGTTCTCCACTTAAGTGGTTTCAGAGCAAAGGGAAGCTGAGCTGAAGGAACAGACTCCGGGAAAAACTCCGCAAGACTGTTTCAGTCGCTTAGGAGCTGCCCATGGGGTCCGTCGTGTGGTCAGGCTGCTGACGGGCTGTCTGGACGCACGGCCATAATAAATGATGTTCTTTAATAGACACGGCGCTTCCCACCGTTCTCCAGACTCCGTCTAAATGGCTGAATGTTCTCACCTGGCCACCAAATTTCCTGCCTAGAGAGAGGGGAGCTCAAACATCTTGCTTGAGAAGACTGTGCAGCTGTGTAAATACGGTCTGCCCGAACATTAATCCACTTGTCAGGTGAGATTTCGTTATTTAAACAGCGAGGATTCCAAGTGGGGTGAATTAATGTCTGTGCTATAAAAGTGCTCCTCTGGGAATTTGGATTCCGGGTTTTGATAGGAAACAATGGACAGTCCTTTCTAGGCCACTTGGCCCAAGATTTTCAGCATCATGTTTAATTCTGGCCTTTTTAGTGAAGGGTGTGTTAATGATTCTGGCCATGGCTCACTGATCAAAAAAACATGAGATGTTTACTCTGCGCCAGCCACGCCGAATGACAGGGGAACCAAGATGAGTAAGGATGAGCACCTGCCTTCAAGGAGCTTGACTTCAAAGAGAAAAACAGAAACTATTTGAACACGGTACGATGTATGACACATGCTTTGTGACACAAGATAAAGTGATATGCAGAAAGGGGAATGGGGTCACCTTTTGATGGAAAGGCGTGTTTCAGGGGGGATTCTCAGAAAAGGTGATACCGGAGCCTGGGGATGGAGGAATGAGGAGGAAGGTGAGGGGGTGGGAATTCCAGGCGCAGGACCACCAGGTGCAAAGACAAAAAGCTATAAAGGAAAGGTGAAAAGGGGGAACTCCTAGTAGCTGAGAAGGGCCAAGGGGAGGAAGCATGGGGCAGGCTTGGTCAAACCATGCAGGGCCTTTGGGGGACCTTTCATAGGGTAGATCCATGGAAGGTTTTCAGAGGTTTCTCAGAGGAAAGACTGAGCTGCTCTCTCTGCAAAAACTTACTTCTGGCTCTAGTATAGAGGACGGTAAATCACATTATATTTATTTTCTACATCAAATAATGAGTAATGTGTATCTCTTCTTTGTTAGTCTGCTCCAGGGGTGGAAAATTTGTGCTGCTAGGCCCCATCTTCCTGCAGCTGTGAGAGATGTTGCTAATCAGTTTGAGCATCTTTGTCATTAAACCCAGATGGAGACCAAATCCCCTCTGCAAACTTAATACTCAGACAGTCCCCACCGTGTGATTGGGGTCGGCGTGGAGTTGGCTCCTGTTCTCCACCCCGGGCCTGTTACTCGCAGGACCGCGTCACTCTGTGTGCCCGCTGGCCCCTGTCTTCCTAACGCACTTGCCCTGTCCTCAGAGGAAGGCAGGAGGACCCCTCGCCTCCTCTCTTTCTGTTTCTTTCCCCTGGGCTTTGCTCCCTCTGGTTCTTAGCATTCTCTGGCACGAGGTGCTTGAGTCCATTGTGTTCCCTAAATCCGGAAGGCGTGTTCCAAGCTCGCCGGTGGTTCTCTTGGAGATGCCGCTTGCTTGGCTTAAGGTGAGGGGTAAGCAGCCACTTCCTGTCGCTGACTGCATGTCCCAGGAAGCTGACTCTGAGACAGGGTGTGTTGTGTAGGATGATTCTCCAGGAGCAGCTGCTTTGCGGAAGGGGAGCAGGGCAAGCAAGTGGGTAGCGGGAGACAGAGCCGCTGTGGGGCGCAGTGCCAGCCGCGGCCAAGCCAGCAGGGGGCGCCAGAGCTCCAGTCGCCCTCAGAGTGGCCCCACAATGGCTCTTCCTTCTTACGCCCTCCTGGCTCAGTCACCCGACAGAGGCCATCCTAGGAAAGGGTGTGACCTTGAGTGAGGCGCTTCTCTGCCCCTGAGGCAATCTCAAAGGAATTTTCTCTCCCTGCCTGGGCCTCTCCAACCTCAACTGCTTTCAGAGCGGGAGGAGAGTGATCGGGAATGCAGGTGAATCTTGGGTTCAGGATGACTTAGCCTTCCTTGCAGAAGGGTTTTGATTATAACTTTCACTAATTAATCATTTTTGTTTTCAGGTGTTGAGGCCTCAGCTACAACTAATACGTGGAGTTCCATTTTACCAGCCTGCTACATACAGTAAGTTGTTAAAACTCCCCATATTGCAATATCTGGGTGTTCAATATCATGACTTACATTCCTATAATACTCTATGGCATATCAGTTATAAAAAAGACCCAAATTCCAATGATCTTTTCAGCAGTCACAGGATACACCCTCGTTTGTGGTTTGAAATATGGTCACTGTACAGTAAGCATAAGGCTGGGCACATGAGTGGTACCCCCAGACCTTGGGGCTGTCTCAGTGGCCATTTGCCTTAGAAGCTGTCATTGAATTTGACAAGCCTGCGGCTTCCTGAATGGTCTGGGGAGGAACTTCATCACAGGTAACTGTAGCTCTTTTTCTGTGCCAATCATAATTATCCCAACCTTCAGGGGAGCCTGCTACCCCTTTTTGTTCTCAGGATAAATATTAATAAAACTGTTATCTTTAGTTCCTCCTGTTGACTTCCTCGGATAAATCCTTGCCTGGTATATATGACTATCACTGGGGTTGGAAAAGGCATCTTTCAAGATTGGGTTCACTTTGCAGTTATGCTATTCCCAAGCCAAAAGGAAAAGAAGAGTAAATTGATAAATTTATTGACCAAGTAAATAAACAGAACAGGAAATTGGTAGATAGCTGATCTTCATCAAGATCTGGATTTTAGGTCAGCAAGTTATTTCAGGTTTGGCCTCTGAGATCTTTGACAGGTTAACTCCCTCACTCTCTCCATCTTGGTTTCTTTATCAATAAAAATGAGAAGATTGGACAAATTCTTGCTTTGTCCAAAAGTTCCTATAATTCTAGGTAGGGAGTTTTCTGAGGCATGGTCAGCCTGCACAGGACAGAGTGCTGAGGTTGACAGGCAGGCAGAGGGGTAATGTCTAGCAAAAAGTATTGGGAAGGAATGACTAGTAAGGTAGGAGAGAAACCAGGAAAGTAAAAGGTCATAAAAAGCAAGAAGAGAGAAGGTCTTAAGAAAGAAAAGTGAATTAGCAGGGTCTGATAGTCCTTAGAGTTCAAATAATGTAAGGACTGAAAGAAATGATATTTAATTTAGTGGCCAGTAAGAAGGCTAAAGAGTGATTAGATATTAGGGTAGAGAAAGGGTAGAAGGAAACATCCCAAACTGTTACTACTAGTTCCTTTCAAGAGAAAAGGAGAGAATCAGAGAGGATGGTAGCAGAACATATTAATTTTTAAAAAAATCATATATTATTGGACCCTGTATTACTTTTTTAGTAATTTTTAGTAATTTAAAAATTCCAAACAAAAGAATGAATGAAGGGTAAAAAAGTGGAGACAGCAATTATAAACTATACCTCCAGGAAGGTTGGTGAGTAAACATACAGAAGGTTTTGTGACGAAACAAAAGAAAAAAACCACAAACATCAACAGGCAGTGTTTCACCTTTGACTCACATTTTACCCTTCTGTGACCAGAGTTCTTCTCCTAAAGTCTTTTCACTAACAGGAAAGAAGGAAGAGCAGGTTGCAAAAAGAAAATAGGACCCGATCTGTAACAAACTTCTCACTCAATTCACAGAAATCACACCACACCCATTTGTCATTTCTCAGCACCATTTGTCATTTTGAGGATGGTTTTTGAAACTCCAGTGTGCTTTTGCGTTCTTGAGACAGTCTGGAAATATAATAATGAAGTACACGCCCCAAGAGCATGCCACAGAGGTGAGCCGTCCGCATCTCTCCAGTCTATCATTGTAACCCCAAGAGTAGCCCAACTCTGAATAAGACAGCACCTCTCACTCAGGCCTAAATTTTGGACTTCATCCATAAATCCAGCTGGGGAGAAAAGATGTGAAAATAAGCAGAAAGAAACTACTATCTTAAGCCATGTTTCAAAAGGGTCTTTTGCATAGTCGAAAACAGTTGCTATATTGTCGATCTCCTAGGACAACTTGGAAAAAACGTTTTGCCGTATGCGTGTTTGGAGGGGAAAAAGAAAAACAAACAAAAAACCTTTTGAGATCAGGAATGAAAGAGAGCATTGTAAACTTGGCAACTGCTGGATCTTTTAAGAGATGAGACAAAAAAGTGCAGGAAAGGGGGAGGCAGAGCCCCGAGGAAGTTCAGTCACTAAGTAGTAGAAATTTTTGCTTGTTCTTTTAGCGAAATGCTTGAAAGTCCTTTCTCTGAAACTTCATTCAGTGCGGTATGAAATAAAATGTTCTCTCTGGTTATAACAGCTCATCCATCTAAGACACATCTTCTCTCTGACAAACTTTCCTCTAATCACTACCCAGCTCACATACTTTGGCTGAAATTTCTAGCATTCAAAGGGAGGCAGCAAGATGTTTTTAGGAGACACACATTTGAACAGTAATACAACAAATGAGAATCAGTATAATGAGGAATGACAAAGAGTGTAGAATAAGGAATGAAAAGCTATAAATAAGGCCATTCATCTTAGCTGATTATCTCATTGCCTACTTCTTATAAAAAAAATGGCAGTTGTCAAGGATGAGCGCCTTAGCTTTCCTGACCGCTACCTCTTTATTCACACCCACCCAGACTTTGCTCCTTTGCCTCTAACCCATCAGAACGAGTGACATCCTTCTACTCAAAGCTAGCTGCTAGCTCCTTCATCCATCTTTTTTTTTTTTTTTGAGACAGAATCTCACTCTGTTGCCCGGGCTAGAGTGAGTGCCGTGGCGTCAGCCTAGCTCACAGCAACCCCAAACTCCTGGGCTCAAACAATCCTTCTGCCTCAGCCTCCCTAGCAGCTGGGACTACAGGCATGCGCCACCATGCCCGGCTAATTTTTTCTATATATCTTTAGTTGTCCGGCTCATTTCTTTCTATTTTTAGTAGATACGGGGTCTCACTCTTGCTCAGGCTGGTTTTGAACTCCTGACCTTGAGCAATCCTCCTGCCTCGCCTCCCAGAGTGCTAGGATTACAGGTTTGAGCCACTGTGCCCTGCCTCCTTCTTCCATCTTATTCAAACTTCTTCAAAGACTTTGCCCCATGTTCTTTTTTGTTCTCTCTTTAGCCCCCTCTTTTTCTCTATTTGATGCCAATGTACTCAAGTTCTCTCCCACTTTTTTTTCCCTACCCCAACCATGGAGTGGTCCTGCCCTGTGACACTTCCATGCTTTCTTCCTGTCCTCCTCTTTATTACCAGACTCCTTCTGGGATATCTTCTCACTCCTCCGGTACTTCTGCCCATCCGTTATTGCTGATTTCTGTCCCTAATGTCCGCAGAAAGTGCACTCTGCTTAACTCACCAGGGATGTCCTAATTGCCACACAGGATGAGCAGCTTTCATTTCTTATTAATACCTCCATGTCATTAGATGTTAATCATAATTCTCTCTGGAAAGTTCTCCCTTCTTCAGATTCTGTACTGTCAAAATTCTGACTTGTCTCTTATCCTTTGAATGCTTGTTATTTCCTATGCAGACTTCTCTTTTTCTATCAGGATCATTCCAGCCCCTTCTCTTTCTTCTCTGTGCACCCTCTGTCTGAGTGGCCTCATCACCCACTCCAGGGACTTCAGACCTAGATAGTCCTCCCTGCTGGACGTCTCCACTGGAATGTCTTGTAGACTATTCAGGCACACTGTGTCCACACTGGATTCCGTTCTCTCTCCAACTGAACATGCATCTCTTCCAGAGTTGCTTTCCTATCTCAGTAAATGGGGCCACAGTTCCCCTAGTTGCCTTATCCAGGAACTTGGGAGTCATCCTTGACCCTTGTCTCTCAACTCCCTCAATTGTAATGCTTTGTCTTTAACAGATGTCCATTCAACCCAGCCGCCTCTGACTGCTAAGTAGCTTTCCTCTATTCCCACTGCCACCGTCATAGTTCTCCTGGACTACTGTGACAAGAGGGCTCCTGCTTCCAGACTTTGTTCTCAGTAATTCATCATACTTCAACCCATTTCATAGCTAAAAGCCCTTTAAGCTCTTTACCCTGTCCAGATACCCATCCTAAACTTATTCTACTCTCCTCTATCCAACAAATACACAATTTAGAAGTTCTTCCTGTTCTGGGGTTCTCCAAGAATCTTAGCTTTTCTCTGTACCTCTCTTTTTGCCTCTTATGGGCCCTGAGGACCCTTTCCTCTTGGATACCTCCTCCTGGCCTGTAGGAAGGATCATCTCCTGAGGGATCTCTCTCTCTAGTTGTCTTCGTGTGCTCTGTCTGCCATTATTCTCACCACAAGTACTGTCATTATTTAATTGTCTCATCTTCTGCCGCAATATAGGCTCAGAAAATAATGTGTAACTTATTTTCCACGGTATCCCCTGTGTTTAGAACAGTGTGACATACTCGTTGAAGTTGCTCAACTTGTTTAATAATGGGTAAAGAAATGAATGAATGCACTAAAAAAATCATTTGCTTGTGGAACAATGGCTTTGGGTGCAAGTCATTCTGCTAGTAAAATAAAATGTGGGAATATTTTCTCATTTTTAAGAAAAACTTAGGTCTAGCATTATCTTAAGTTCAAAGAAACATGTCATAAGCTCCTTTTATACCTGCTACCAACCATATGTCTTCTACACTCTACAAAGGGCTGGTGAGGTCTGAATCAGGTGGGTGTGAGGGTCCTGGTTTATACTGGCTTCCTTTTTCTTCCTCTCTGGACTATCAGGAAGAATACTCTTCTCTTTCTGCCTGGACCCATCATCAGTCCCCGGCTCCCACATTGGAGTGGTGCTTACTCTGCTCTGCAAAAGGCTTCCAGCCGGCAGGGCCAGTGAGGGTAGAAATACAGCCTTAAGCCCTGGCCCTGGCTGTAGAGAACCCAGAGGAGGAGATAGCCTTTTTATAACTTGTGTGATTCATGGAAATAGCCAAAAGCAGTTGTCTCCAAACTGGCTTTTCTACCCCGGTTTCTAACATGAATAGTCCACAAGATGGATCTAGTTGACCGCTAAGAAAGCCTCACTGTTTCCACACATTGACATCAGTCCCAGTGGGTATGGGTTCGGGTGTTATCTGCTCCTCCATGAAAACATATCGGCTCGGCATTTTTTCCAGTGGCAATTTTAACGAAGAAACCATTTATGCTT